GGGTGCGGTTCTATGAGGGCCCCGAGCTGGTGGCTGACAGCAACGTAGTCCTGGACACAACCATGCGGGGTGGCCGCCTGGGGGTCTTCTGCTTCTCACAGGAGAATATTATCTGGGCCAACCTGCGCTACCGCTGCAATGGTGAGGGGGAACTCTGTTGGGGGTAGAGAGACATAGCACCCCTCACCCAGGCACCCTGACTTACCCAGCCCTGGTCCCTCCCACCTGCCTGCCCATCCTGCCCCTCTCCCACCTCATTACCTCCCTCACAACAGCTTGCCCCACTCACTCCCCCATACCCTTTCACCAACCTCCCTCTCTTCACAGACACTATCCCTGAGGACTATGAGACCCAGCAGCGGCTGCGGTCCTAGAGACGTGAGGGGGCCCACTGGATGCTGGCTGAGGGTTCTGCACCAGCCTGGAAAGGCAGCCAATCTGGGATGCAAGGAGAGGGGCTCAGGGAGAATGAAATAAAGTATGTTTGGTGGGGTACCGGCTGTGATCCCTGCTCTGAGGAGATGGTGGGGGCTCGGGCCTCTGAGGGAGGAGGGGCAGGCCCAAGACCTCAAAACCAGGCCTCAGATGGGCCTCCCCGGTGGCGCAGAGGTTGAGTGCTGGGTTGTGAAGCTGCCCGCAGCCTCTACAGCGCCGGTTCGATCCCCGGCTGCTCCCCAGTCACCGGAGGAGGGTCCCACATGGTGCGCAGACCTCTCCTGCCGCCCGCTGCTCCCCTCAGCGGTGTACTTCGGTCCTTCTGCCTGCTCTGCTCCCCGCTCTGGCTCTGGTGAATTCTCTCACCCTCCCGCGTTTCTGACTGTACCCAGTGCTTGTATAAATAAATAAATAAATAAAATAAAAATAAAAAAATAAAATAAAATAAAATAAAACCAGGCCTCAGAAAGTGAGGACCTGCACTGTCCTCCACTTGGCAGACTGGGCACAGTGGGGTTTGCTACAGCATCCCACCCAGTTGTGGTCAGGGGCCTGCATACCTGCATTCCTGAGCTTGGGCCGAAGACACTGGTGGGGCTGGGGGAGATCCCTCACTCTCCAGGATTGAATAGCTGCATGAAGGTACCACATCTGCTTGTCAGAGTTCTTGTGTGTGTGTGCTGGGGGGCAATCTATAAGAGGGCACAGCTCCCTCCTCGTGCCCCCTGATCCCCATGTTTCATCCCAGTTGGTAGGGAGAAAAAAGGGAGTAGGAGGCAGAGACAAAAACATTGGATTTTTTTATTACATTTCATTACAAAGGATGCAAAGGTACAAAGACAAAAGCGTCCACGTCAGAGAGGATGGGCAGGGGCCGGCCGAGAGGGCCCTGAGCTGCCCGCCCCCGCCCGCCGAGGGCGCCACACAAACGGTCCACGGGACATCCACAGCAGTGTACATGCTGGGGTTGGGGGGGGGTGGGCAGAGCCAGCCTGGGGACAGGGACACAGGCAGGGCAGGGCTTGGACCGGTGGGTTTGCATATATCGGTGGTGCCACCAAGTCCCTCAAGGGCAGTTTCCTTGGGGTTAGGGGGCAGAACACGGCGGGGCCAGCGACCTTGGCTACCTACATCTCCCTCCCAGGGTCTGATGATGAAAGCCACAGCTGTGACCCCTTGTCCCCAGTGGACAAGGAGTCAGAGTGATACACTGGGCTGGGCAAGGATTGCCCCCAAATTCCAGAAGCAGAACCCCATGAGATGGGGGCAACTCCCCGCCCACATATGCCACGTGTCCCCGGCTCCTTTGGACAAGGTATTTGGCTCACCAGGAGGGCAGCAAGTGAAAGGAGCCATGTGGAGCCAGCAACACCCTGACATCTGGTCCCTGCCACCCTTCCTGGGAAGATCCTGGGGCCCCAAGACCTGCAGATATGAGTCAATGACAAGAGGGAAACTGAGGCCCAGGTCACAAGGTTCCAAAATGAACAGAAGAAACAGACCAGCTGCCCACTCACCCAGGCCAGTCTCCCCCAGTGAACCAGGCCATACAGGGAAGGCTCTGGTGGCCTTGGAGGGGACCTAATACCCTTGACCTTGTGGCTTACATTCCATTACCCATGCTGAGTGCCCAGGGCCTCTGATTATGACTCCATCAGAACCCAGAGAGGGTGACAGGTGTTGCTCATTTGCCTGGGGTGGGGGAGTTTAGGGCCCCTGGCAGAGTCCCCCAATACCACCAGACCTTCTTTGGAAATACAGAAAACTCAGAATTCAGTTGAGGGTGCAGGGTGAATGAATGTTTGGCTCTAAACCAGCTCAAGTTTGGAGGTGGGGAGGTCTGGGGAGAGGAACACTTTCACATGCCCAGCCCCCAAACGGCCTCATGCCTACTCCCATCCACCTGATCACAAACAGCCAGTCCCTGGCATACAGCCCCCAAACCCAGCACACATTGCTGGTAGGACAGATGGACTTGGGGTCTCTAGCCCTCCACACAGAGGTCTCGGAGTGTGACAAAAGCCATCCTCCTCCCCTGCCCACTCTAACACATGGGCCGCAAGATGGGATCCCTGGCTCAGTGTCCTCCCAGGCACTTGACTGCCTGAAGAAGTCAGGCCAACACCAGAAACCCCCTTCTCAGGCAGGAAAATCCACAATTATATGTGAGCAGAGACTGCAGCGGACGCCAGCATCCAAGGAGGGCCAGCCCCAAGCGTACCTGCTGGGTCAGCAGGGGGTCTGTGGGTAGCGTCCTGGGGACAGGACCACGGACACAGTTGTCTGCCCTCACCCTCAGGTATGGCCCTAGGAAGGCCCTGTGGACCATGATGGGGGTAGGGGCTGAAACACCACAATCAAAGGCCCTCATGCTGTGAACTGTCCCCACAGAGGAGCCTGGTCAGTTTCTGGATGCTGCTGGCTGCAGGACCCCAAATTTTACTAAAGGGTTGACCTGCCCCCAAGCCTTCCAGTGAGGGTATCAGGGTCACCTGCCCCAAAGTGTTGGTGGGGAATTGAGTGCAAGGAGAGCAGGGCGGGGCCACAGAATGCCCTAAAAAGCACTGTAAGGATGGAGGTTGGCCTGGGTGTCCAGTTGGACCATGATCCCAGTGAGAACCCCCCCATCTCCCCACATCAACCCTGAGCGCTGTTGGCGGGGGGGGGGTCAGGGGCACAAACCCTCCACTCCGGAGGACAATGAGGAAGGGCTGACCCCAGGCTCCACTCTCAGTCCTCAAGCCTTGAGGCAGAACATACTCTCTGCCCTAGGGGCTCAGAGGACAAAGGTAAACCAAGGTAGCAGGGACCAGCTGGGCAGCTTATATGCTCTGAAGAAAGATTTGCACAGCTGATGGATCCCAGCCAAAGCCAGAAGCACTCCCACTGGAGATTGGGGGTTGGGGACAGCCTGGTCCGTCCCTGACCTCACATGGGCCAAGCATCCAGGCCTATCCCAAGCGAGCAAGCGAGCGAGCGAGCTAGGACATAGGCGGCGGGTCTATATACACGACTTGGGGCCCCGGCCGCCCCTCACAGCGCAGCTTGCCCGAAATCACAGTATTTCACACACAAGTCAAAGGGCTGAGTCCCTTAGGCTGTCTTCTTTCAGAAAGTCTTGGCAATTCAAAAATGTTTAGTAGAGAAGTGATATTTAAGAAAAAAAAAAAATTCCCTGTTGCAGACCCCAGAGACCTGCCCAGGGCCATGTGCTAACAGGAGGGGAGGGGCCCCTTTGGGATACAGGGATGCCAGGCTGCTGGCTTCTGGTTAGGCCCCTCCCTGGGAACTCTCTGTACCTACTGAGAGACTGTCATGTTAATGCAATATCATGGAGCTCCTGGAGAGGAAAACAGCCCCCCGGCCTGTCTGCACAGAGAACTGGCAGGGTTGGGGGGGATGGCTGGGAAGTGTGGGCTGACCAGGCTCCCACTCAAGTTCCCAACGCTTGTTTGAAAGTTTGCATCCAGGAAGGTTGCTTATAATTTTATTAAGGCCATTTTTTAAAAAAAGTTCTACATACAAGTCTAATGGTAATCAAACTCTTCTATGTACATGTAGTTTTCTTTAAAAAAAAAAAAGTCCTCACTCTTTGCCCCTGGTCCCTGCCAGGTAAGAAAATGGGCCCTCAACCTGGATGGACCAACATGGTGTCCCCCAGCCCAGACAGCGATGGGGGCTGAGGGACCGAGGAAGGGTCTTCTCATGTAGGTGGCCGCCTGGCCATGTGCTAACAGCCTGGCCGAACATCAACAGGGATGGTCTTGGGATCAAATGCAGCTCCCAGACAGAGGCACGGCTCCCAAGACCCCAGCAGAGGCGGTGACTGAGAGACCACAGAGAAATGCACCAAGCGCAGGTGCCAGCCCGACCGGCAGGCAGGTTGAAACGGAGGTTCCTATTCCAAAGCAGCCGGCAGAAAACAAAGCTGCCCCCTGCAGGGCCTGGGGCACAAGGATGGCCCCTACATGATGGCAGACAACAGTCACCTAGGCCTCCTGGGGGTGAAAAGCACCTGGAAACCCGCCACAAAAAAACGCAGGTTGCTCTTTCCCTCATATCAGTCCTGCCAGGAGGAGCCAACGGAGGGGTGATGAAGGGGACAAATCCCGGTTCTCGGGGCAGGCATGATGGGACAGCCTTGCCTCTGGGGTGCCACAAAGCAGAGAGGCCGTACCCTGAAGGCTGGAGATCAGTCAGGAGGGCCAGGGAGAGTTAGGTCTTGGCAAGACCCTTAATAAAAGCCATGGCTCCTTCCTGGAAGCTGTTACGTGGCCGGTGAGGAGGCATCTCTGGCCAGTCCGACCTTCTGTCCATTCCAGCCTAGCCCAACCCGCAGGCCCTTCTGTTCTAAGGTAACTTGGAGCAAAACTAAGAACGCTGAATTCACGGCTCAGACCCGGATGGGTAGCAAACAGCTTCCAGTTAGCTTAAAAAATATATAACGTAGGATTTCCAGAATAAAAACATGCTCTCAGGCAAGTATTGGCTTGAAGGATTCAGCTACTTGTCTACAACCGAAATGTCAATACAAACCAAAAGAAACAAACATAAAAGAACACAACAAAAAGCCCTGGCCACCCCCCCACCCCCTTTCCTTAAATAACAGTTAAGGGGACCACAGTACAGAGAAGGGAAGGCGGCAACAGAATCATGAAACCCCCCAAAAGAACCCCTGCCTTCACGTGCGGCCCCAGCAGGCCCTTCAGCTGGCTGGGATGTTCCCAGAAAAGCGGCCGTGAGGGACGTGTTTGGGTGCGCAAGGGGTGGCTGCGCGTGTACAGCCCAGGGCCGGGTGAGCTGCTGGCATGCTCCTTCACGCCTTCGCCCTCTGCCTCCAGGGCGGGTTCTACATCACGTGTGTGCTCAGAAATATAAAAGACAGCAGTCAAAATAGTGTTTATTTTGCTTGGTGTCACCCCCTATCGCAGGCGCCTTCTCCCTTCGGCAGGGTGGGGCTGGCTCTCCACCTAACCACAGGCTGGGGAAGGGGAGGACGGGCGGGGTCTGGGACGAAGGAAGGCAGTGACAGCTGACAACAGTCGGAAAATGCACCTCCGCCAGCGGCGGCACGGCTCACGCACCCCTGTCCCACACACGTTCCGCATCTCACGGGGGACAACTTGTGGCCCAGGCAAGGGCAACAGCGAGCAGGGAGGGTCCACGGGGGCGACGCGCAGCCTCACGCAGGAGGCGGACGACCGGGGGTGGGCAGGTGGGGGCGCTTGGCAGCATTGCAAGCTCAGAATGACAAGCGCGGCCGTGTGCAGGGACGGAGCAGCCGTCCCGGGGAGACACCGTCGGGACCACTGACCGGCGGGGTGGCAGAGTGCCTGGCGGGGCAGCGTGCTGCTCACAGCCGATCCATCCGGAAGGTGTCCTCAGTGGCCGGGTCAGCCAGGACCATGTCAGGGTCGTTGAGCATGTGCAGCCCATCCAGGGTGAGGGGGTCGATCTTGAGTTCGTCCAAGGGGAAGTGGTTGTCCGAGTCGAAGCTGACATCACCGACCCCGGCCAGTGAACTGGTCAGTTCTTTAGAGAGGCTGGGAGGAGACTCTCCTGTCACTGGAGGGGAAGAGGGCAGAGGTGAGTGGCAAAAGGCTCAAGTGTGCCCGAGTGCCCTGCCCTCATGACCCCTATCAAGACCAGACCAGGGCCGCCTACCTAGGGGGTTTGTGCCACAGGGGCCCGTGGAGATGTCTGGGGGTATTTTTAGTTGTCGTGATGGGTTAGGGTATTAAAGACTTCAGGTGGATGCTGCTGTCTCCCACAGTGCACAGAATGGCACCATCCCAGAGAACAAGTCAGTGCCAGAGCGTCAGGGAGAGCCGAGGTCAGAGAGCCCTGGGCTGGGGGCTGCGATCATAGATGGCAGGTGACGAGGTGGGAGCAAGGGCCTCCCAGCTCTGCCAGTTGCTCACTCTGTCACCGAGCAGGCAGATATGGGCTCCATGGATTGGAGGGAAGTTCCTCCTGAGGATCAAGTTCAAACCTGAGTTAGCTCCTCTACTGAGCCTTGGTTTTCTAATCTGGGAAATGGGTATGAAAGTCCTTTTCTCTTTGGGTTGTAGGAGCCATCATAAGGGCCTGCCTTTTCTCATGCTGAGGCTTCCATCCCTGTAGGGCGCTGCCCCAGACCGCTGCCCACTCCTTCAGAGCCCAGGCCTTGGGGAGCTCTTGGCATGAACCCCCATCCTGGAGATGAGTGGTGGCGGTATCACCCTAAATCCCATGATAGACCTAGGTTAGAAGGAATTTGCCTCCTCCTTCTGAGGCATTGGAAGGTCTGTGGGCCGCTCAGGCTGCTCAGGGACATTTGTCACAGTGTGTGGAGCTGTTACATGTCTGTTGGCTACACAGGATAAGCCTGATAAGCAGGTTCCCAGCTCCCAGCGCCTGTGTCCCCAGCACACAGTTAACGGGGGTCCTGCTCTCTCTCTGAGCTTGGGCATGGAACACCTGGTTCAAGGTCCAGTGTTCGTCCCCTGAAGCATAAGGCAGCTGGGCAATGAGTTAGGGTTCGGCGGGTATCTGGTTTCCTTAGGCCTGAACAGAGGACAAGGACACCTCAGCCCCATCACCACTTACCTTGTGGGGCCAGGGCTCCACCTCCCCAGGCCTAAGGCCATTCACTGCTGTCAGGCCTGGGTTGTGGAGGGGGGCCCACAGCAGCCACAACCCGCCGCCTAGCACACATGCCAGTGTCTCACCTGTGAGGATAATGTTGGGGATGCTGCTGTGGCTTGGGTAGCCAAGCGGCTGCGTGTCCGGCAGGCTCCCATGGCTACCTGTGAGGCCCATCATGGCTGCCTGTGAGTAGTTAAGTGTCGAGCCCGGGCTGTACAGGCTACTGGAGCTGATGGCGTTCTCCATCATGTTGAACTGCTCCAGCTGGGAGGTAAGCACACATGCCTGAGACCTGCCTGCTGAATCTGCCCCTGCCCAGCTTCCTGGGGCTCCTGGCTGCTGCTGGCCTACAGCCACCAGATCCTCCTCTACAAGACACTGAGCGCCAGTGCTCAGGTGCCCCTGGGGTTGCTGGGCAATAGTCCCTTTGCCTCGGATCACCCTCTTGCCCTCTTCAAAGCTGCCCAAACTTGGTCACCCCAGGGCTTGCTGGATGAATAGACAAATGGGTGAATGGGTGGGCGAGTCATGAGCTCCAGGCAGCACCAAACCCTCCCAAACCCGCAGGTCCCTGACCCCGGCCTCCACGCAAAGCCAGCACAACCTCCCAGCAGACCCACGTGCACAGCCCATATAAGGTGCCACTGTGACAGCCATCACCTGTCCTTACCAGGTTCACCGCCCACCCTTCCCCTGCCCTCAGCCCAGTTCTGTGAGCTGGGCACAGATGCCAGGGGAGGCCCAGGCAAGCCACTCCTTCCAGGGCATGGGGCTTCCACAGCCTGGATATCTGGGAGTTGCCGAGAAGCAAAGCTCAAGCCTGAGGATGAGCAGTGTCCTGGCGAGCGTCTTCGGCGGCGCCCGCTCACCTGGTGGGACAGAGCATTGGCCTGCCTGGCCGCCATCTGCTGCTCATAGTACGAGTCCCCAAACACGCCGCCCAGGGTGGAGGAGTGCTGCAGACAGAAGAGAAGCCTGCTGTGGTCAGGATCCCCAAGACCAGGCGGGAAGGGGAGACCCTCTCAGGGCTGCAGGAAGAACCCACAAGCTCTGGGATAGAGGTATGCATCCCCCAATCTCAGAATGACTGCTTTTCCCCCACCGCCTGTTCCTGGGGGGCACCGTGTACCCCAGCATCCTTCAGAGTGCCAGTCCATCTCCTTTATAGTCCAGGTGTGAGTGACCCACTTTCCTGTCAAACAGAAGTTAGGGGGACACACAGGAAAGTCTCCTGTCCATTGTCTCGATGTGGTTGCCTGCCTGCAAGACCCCAGGGTCCAAGGTGGGCAGGGAGCTCCATATCTGCATGCCCAAGGTCGGTGGGGCAGAGTAAGGGTCCCTGATAGGGGTGGAGATGCTGGAGGCTCTGCCTGTTTCTGCTATCCCACTGGGGAGATGGCAGAATGGGGCCTGGCAGGACGTGTGATGGGAGGGCCCTGACAAGTGGCACCTGAGGTTCCAGGCCTGGGGAGACACATTACTGGCCTGAACCCTGTGGTGCCCCAAGGCTGGGTGCTCTGGCCTGTCTCCTCTGTGAGACACAATGGCTCATGGGAGCTCCTGCAGCCATTCCCAGGAAATCCCAGTGCATGTCCAAAACCCAGGACCTCCTCCCTTTGGGTTCCCTGTTGTAGGAAGGCCCCACATGCTCTGACAATCAAACTTGAGTCTCGGGCCTCCCTCTCACAGAACCTGACTACAAACCCAGCAGCCCCTCTGGGTGATTAGTGGTTTAACAGTAGAAATGGACAGATTCCACCCCAGTGGGCAGGGCAGACCCTGGGGACAGAAATTTCTTACAGACCAGGGACATGTGATACTATCTTTACTTTAAAAACTGCCACTGTAGTGTGGGCAGTGCCTGGGTTTACCCACAAGGATGGAGGCAAGTGAGTGCATTTCACCCTGGCTGCTATGGACCTCAGCCAAGGCCAGAGCAGGTCTGTTCTGGGGCTCCTGATCCAGTCCATGACCTTGGCCCTCAAGAGGCCCAGCACAGACAGCAGATGCCAGGTTCATATTTCTTTTAAGGCTGCCAGGAGGGTTTGCTGGAAAGGCTCAGAAAGGAAGAAGTGAGGTTGTATACAGACCCCAATCCTGGTTGTCCAAAGGCCCAAGGTACAGTGGAACAGAAGAGATGTCTACTCAAGGCTAGGTGGGAGGGGTGGCAGTCCTGAGCAACCAGGGGACATACTGGCAGGGTCAGGGAGGCCTGTGGGGTCCATGAACAGTCATCCCTGCATGAAAGTCCTGAAAGTCAGTTCCTACAAGGCCCTAACCCTCATCTAGTTAGGGTCAGACAGCAACAGCCTGAGTGAGCTGTCTCCCTCCCACACCAGCACGAAATAGATGGACAGACACACGTACACAGGCTTGAGACAGCAACACACTCTGTTCAGGATGGACCAACCCACCCTGGTTCAGGCAAATCTCTCCCGGAGAAATCCGCTCAATCCTTAATCCTGGCCCCACGTTCCAAAGAAGAAGAGAATGGCCTCAGGCAGTGCTGTCCACTTGGGACAGGTTCAGTCTGCCCGGACTGCTTTTCCTAGCCCCCATCCCAAGGCACTATATGACAAGACCAGACACTTCTTAGGAACTATGAAAATCTCAGAGCCAGAGTAATGGACCAAATGTGAAGGCATCTGGCTGAGCTGACCACCGAAGCTCCCTGCCACTGTGCCAGCCTGCCTCCTGGGCAGGGGCTGCTCGCCCATGTTGCTGGCAGGACCATGGTGGAAGAGGCAGCCTGGGAGAGTCCTGAGAACAGCTGAGGGGGTGTGGGGAGGGCTTCTACTTGGGATACTCATTCAAGACCTCTGTAGACAGGGACAATGAGGCATGTCCCCCTGGACAAGGGAGTCTGGTGTCATTCCTGAGGGTCCTGCCTGGAAGGATGGCTCCTCCACTGATCCATTTTGGAAGGAAAATCCCATTATGCCCTGGTTTGAGGATAAAGCTTCCAGGCCTTGGGCGTTCAGTGGCTCTGAGGGCTTTCTCAGCTTGATGACTGTGGGATGGGGTGGTGGGGTCCCAGAGAGGATCTGCTGCAAGAGTGAGTTTAGCTGGACAGGGTCCTTCTCTCCTGAAAGAAGGTTCTGAATGGAATGCACTTATGGGCCTGGCTGAGGGGAGTCTGAGGAAACTGGACAAGTGTGTTCATGTGTGGGTGTCAGAGATCAAGGTCCCATCATGCTGTTTATGGGGAAAACCCTTTTCTGATGGACATGGTTAAGCCCTGCCTGTGGCCTGTCTGTGGATGTAGATAAGGATCCCTGGAGGCCATATTACACCCAAAGAAGCTTCCTGGGCCACAGGCCTGGTGGATGAGGGACATACCTTCTGAGGGGGCAGCAGGAAGAGAATGGAGCTGAGAGACTGGAGCCCTCACCATGGGCCAGCCTTCACCTCAGTATGCCCCAAAGCAGGGCACCTCACCACCCCCAGGAGCCTCCAGAGTAACAGACTGAATGTGGCAACAGACAGGGGTAGGGGATACTGCTGAGCTGCACACCGGGCATCCCAGACACTGGTTGGGAAGCCCACCCCCACTCCTGTCACCAGCCTCCACCCTGGCCAGTGCCTGGCAGAGCACAGAGGCACAGGAACCGGCAACTCAGGGTCCTGGGACAGCACCTTCTCCTCTTGCCCCATGGAATGGACGAGATGGGATGGATGAGGTGTGTGGCACAAGGGGTATAAAAGTCGATGGAGGGGGAAGGCGCATCCCTTACTTGCGGGGAGCTCCCAGGGGAGAAGCCTTGATTGGAGACGGGAGAGGTGGGAGACTGGTTGGCTGGGGAGCCAGCACTCGTGCGGTACTGCTGCAGAGCTGGGGCCTACGGCAACAGAGAGTCAGGACACAGGCAGGGTCCCCCTTCCCTGCTGAGCCCACCACCCTGGCCCACAGCCCACCATGCCCCTGCTCTTCAGATAAGCAGGGTCCCTGAGTCCTCCCAGAGCCCAGGGCTTTGGTACTCTACCCCAGGTTAGGGGCACGATCAGAAAACTTGAATCCAGTCCCACAGAACAGCTGTGAGTGCTGGGGAAGGGGAGGGGATCTGCCTGAGTCAGCAGACCTGTGTCTGAGCCTACACACATGCACACCTGCTCACACATATGTACATACCCCAGCCACACACGCATGCCCACACATGAACTCACATATGCACACAAGGCACATCCCTACATGCACACTCCACACACAGCCACACACCGACACGTGTGCAGATGTGCACATGCACGAAACCCACACGTGTACACACCCTCACACACACACACCACCCACCTACATGCATGTGCAGGAAACACATGCATGTGCATCCATGTATACGCACACTGTGTGCAGCCACACGTGTGCAAAACCATACATGTGCACTCACAACATGTGCATATAACCCAAGTACGCACATAACTCAAGTACACACAAATCACACACAGCTGCATTCGACCATATGCACACACGACCTTATGTGCATTTGGCATTATGCACACCCACCCACATACATGTGCACATGGCCTCGGATATGCACATGTATACCTTACAAATTTGGGCAGGAAAGGCCCAGGGTGGGCAGGTGGATACTGTCTTCTACTCCCTACTCTCACTTCCCCTCACCTCTGAGTCTAAACACTAATACATGTCGCCCACCTCAAGCACAGTAGGTGACTGTGAAGGCCAGCTGGGCACAACAAGGTTGCTAGTGCTGCCAGAAACCTCCGAGAGAGGCAATCACTTCTCTGCTTGGAGGGGAAAGGGCCTGGGTTTCTCACCAGATCCCATGGGCGCAGGACTTGGAATTATACACTGCTCTTGGAATTATGCCCTACTGTCTCCTTGAAGAGCTGCCTGACCTGTCTAAGCCTGTTCACTGAGGCCCCCCCCTAAGTGCACCACCTCTTCCATTCCCTTAGTGACCTGTCTTGAGTGATGTAGATAGGCACTGAGCTGTGTGGAGCAAGGGTCTCACTTGAGAGGAAGTGGGGGTCAGTGGTACCAGCATGGTCACATAGCAGTGACCAGCTCAGCCTTTCCGGAATTAGAAAGAAAGTGACCAGGGACATTCCCACCTGGGTGGCTCACAGGTGCCATGAGAGCCCATCTCCTATGGCAGCCAGCAACCGGTAGGGGGTGCCCTCTTTCCCTGGAGGGTTGGGGAGGGGCGGTCTGCACACCCAGCCAGCGAATTACTTGCCACTAGCATCAGTCCAGCTCTGTCCACTGTTGGAGGGCACCAGAGAACTGGGTGCCCCAAGGAGGCACGCCACCCCTGTCAGAGCTGCTACCACGCAAACTGTGTTTCTGCCAGAAAAAAGGCTTGGGTGCTTTTACATTTGAGGGGGCCCCTGGGGCCTGCCCTCTCAGGAGTCCCAGCAGCTTGGAAAGGCAAGCCTCTACCTGTTGCAGCACCCCCTGCCCCATCCAGCTTGGCAGAGGATGGGGGGAGGGGGGTGGCAGACAGCTGTCAGCAGAGCACAGGACTTTCTGCTGGCATTGTCCTGGGGCTGGCAGCGAAGGGCTGAGAGCAGAGGCTTGCTGTGTCCAAACATGGGCCCCTAATCAACTGGATGTGGCCAAAGGTAGCTGTAACCACCCGCCAGGGGAATCTGCCTGAGCAGTTAGGAGGGTTTGAGAGTATGGCAGCCAAAACCTACTACTCATTACCCTGAGCCTAGTCCTAGGCAGTGTGCTCCAAGGTCTGAGCCCAGGCCCTGGCCTGAGGTGCAGTGTTGTGTGACCCTCCACGTCATGCTGCTGGCTTCATCCACTGCCCCTCTGAGTTCAACTGTGCCCCAGAATCTGTTCCCCAGACCCTGACAGCTCCCTGCTCTCCTAGCCTCCAAGGAAACCCCTTTCAGATAGCAAGGGTTGAGGAAGGGGCAGCAGGGGCAGGAAAGAGACCCAACTGGGGTGAAATCTGCTTGGGCATCAGCCTCTCAGTCTGTGCATGGGTGACAATCTTGGGTTGAAGATTTGAGGGAAACCCCCATTGAGGTCGTCTCCCAAGCAGTGTTTGCTTCGGCACCAACCCCTGGTCAAGTGGGCATTGAATTTGAGCTTTGAGGCAAGGTAGAGCTCTGACCATCCTCCAAGTGGGCCCAATGGGGCCTCCACAAGACCCCAGGGTCCTCTTACACAAGCCCCCCAATAGGGCCCTTCAGGACCCCATCCTGAGCTTACCGAGGTGATGTCGATCCCCATCTGTGGCTGGCCTGGGTTCTCTGGGGGTGACTGGGGGAGAGAGGGCGGTACCGTGACCACAAGCGGGGGTAGCTGGGGCCCCCGTGTCAGGCTGGCACTCGGCATCAGGGGGCCACCCGGGGGGAGCCCCACGGGCACCTGTGGGGGAGGTGGGGGTGGCTGCTGCTGGGATGCGGGTGGTGGTGGCGGTGGGGGCTGGGGTTGCGGTGGTGGCTGCTGGGAGCCCGCCTGGGTGAAGAAGGCGTAGGGCAGCTGCTGCTCCAGAGACAGGGCATCCATGGCCACGGCCTGTGGGGAAAGGAGGGTGTTGGGTAGGGGGGGGCATGGCAGGTCAGGCTGCAGCTGGGTAGGGCCTCGATGGCTAACCCAGTCGGTGCATCTGATACCCAATGAGCCTGCCTTCACCCCTGCCACACGCAGAACTGCAGGCACCACCCTCCATATTCGCTGTGCTCAAGAGGATCCCACTGAGCCGGAGGCCCCCAACTTCAGGCATTCTGCACTTAGCCCTCCTGGTGTCCTGGGGCTGGATAGCAGGGGAAGGAACCTCCTCCCACTACTCCAGGCCTGGCCACGTCTCTAGTGTGCCACTCAGCAATGGCCAGCTTGGGCCTTCTTAGCTGGAAAGAGGGAAATAACAGGAGGAAAGTTTTCAATGCTGGGAGTCTGTGCACAGGGTACCTGGGGTAGGCAGGGCCCCTGTCCTGAGGAAAATGGGATATGTCCAGAAGCCAGGGGGTGCCACCAGGAGCCACCAAGACTCTAGGTGGATCCCCATCTGAACACAACACCCCGGAGGCAGACAGAGACACGAAGGGGAGGGCTCAGGTTGGCCTTGAGAGGGTGCAGGAGAGTTACTTGTAACTTTGTTGTATAGGCAGGCAATGCCATCTTAGTTATGTTAAACAAACAATAAAAACCATTATCCATTAGGCATTTAAAAAAAAAAATGGCCAGGGCCTCCCTGGTGGCACAGCGGTTGAGTGCTGGGTTGCGAAGCTGCCCGCAGCCTCTGCAGCACTGGTTCGATCCCCGACCACCGAGCTAGGGTCCCACATGGCGCACAGACCTCTCCTGCCACCTGCTGCTCCCCTCAGCAGTGTACTTTGGTCCTTCTGCCTGCTCTGCTCCCCGCTCTGGCTCTGGTGAATTCTCTCACCCTCCCGCGCTTCTGACTATACCCAGTGCTTGTATAAATAAATAAATAAATCTTTAAAAAAGAAAAGAAAAATCTTTAAAAAAAAAAATGGCCAGCTTTTAGAAACACACAAACTACCAAAACTGACCCAAGAACAGAGAGAAAATCTAAGTAGGCCTATATCAAGTAAGGGGATGGAATGAGTAATAAAAAAACCCATCCACTGAAAATAAGTCGTAAGTGTTGGTTTCATGAGCGACTTCCCCCAAACACTTGAAAAATTAACATGGTTCTCAAACTTCCAAAAAATAGAAGAGGGAGCACTTCTAACTCATTTATGAGCCTAGACTAATGAAGTGAAAAAAAAAAAAAAGAGGACTCAAATGACTAAACTTTAAATGAAAGTGGGAACATCATTACTGACTTGATCAAAAAACAAAATGGATGGCGTGTAAGGAACGTCGGACGGCAGCAGGCCAGACAACCGACATGAAATGGACTGGTGTGCAGATACACACAAATGGCCAAAAGGCGACAGAGTAAATGTGGCAAGCTGGAAAACAAAAACAAAAAAGCACCTCTCTGAACATTTTATTACAGAGAACCTGAACCACATCCTAAAAAGAGAAAGCAGAGTGATTAAGAATGCTGAGCACAAGGGCACAAGCTTGTGGCCACCAATGATGCAGTTCCCATGTTTGAGAATTTAACAACAAAAAGAAAATTTTAACACCTGGCCAAGTTTTCAGGACTTTGTGCCCTGGAAAGAGCAAGGGCAACCCCCACCCACTAGCCCTCAAACCTGAGTGATGGGCGACAGTGGGGAGAGGCTGGGCGACACCTGCTGTGCCTGTGGCCTCCTGGCCTCCGAGCTTAGGGACAGTGGGCTCACGCCGGCCGGGTGGTGCTGTGGAGAGGAGCCAGGCGTGCTCATCCCTGCAAGGGAGGGAGTACCCCATCACTCTGATGAAGCAGTAGGCACCCCTGACACAGGGCTCCCTTCTGCTTTACCCCCCGCCCCCATTCCCCAAAGACCCCTGCCATCCGTCTTTCTAGTAGATGTGTGTCCTGTAAGCCTGTCAATCAGTCTCTGGACCACTGGCCCTCAGGAGATCACGTGATCAGATTGGTCCAGTGAGAGTCTGTCCCAGGACTTCTGCTGGAACTCCAGGTAGAGAGGAGTGAACCAGGCCTGGGAGAGAAGGGGTGTCCCGGAACCACAGGGGAAGGGCTCACCGAGAATCAGGAACTGAGGGGAGAGATAACACTGAGATCCAATCCAGCACCACAAATGCTTCCTGGTTTCAGGAGACCATTAATTCCATTTTTTTGCCTAAACGGGCTTGGTTTTGGTTGGTTTCATGCTAGCTGGTCTTGCTCAACACTGAGGTTTTCTCTTAACATCCCCTTGCTCTCCTCGCTCTACTTTGAAGAATGTGTTCCTTCCATAACTGACCAGAACTTTTGTCCCCCAAGATCTGTGCCTGTCAGACCCTCTCCCACCTTGTGCCCGTCTTTCCTTGTTTACTCCCCATGCTGGAGCCAGCCAGCAAGGCCACCCTAGCTACAAACTCAGTGGCTTTTTTATCTTCTCCTAACACACTCCTTCCTGATGGAGCTCCTGCAACGGAGGAGCAATCGGATTGCCGAACCCCTCTATGCTGAAAGAGATAAAGGAAGCCAAGTTCAGAGGGGCAGCAGTAGGGGGCTGCTGGGTTATCCTGGGACACCATGCAAGGATGCAAGACATGGCTCTGCCCTATGCTGGCAGAGCCCTGAGGACTGGCCTGATTCCCCTACATTGTTTGCTTGTCCTGGAGATGGAAATAAGAACCCTCCTGAGTTCACCTAGAGACCCTAGTGGGGTCTCTGAAGAATCTAGCTTGCAAGGCAAGGCCGGGTAAAGGCACCTGAGTCACAAGAGTGGGTGGGGTGGAGGTGAGAAGAATCCTGCCAAAAGCACTAGTTCAACCTTGTTCCAGCGGATCAGATGCAGGTTCATGGCAGGTGGGAGTGCAATCAAAGTGCCCCAAGAGAAGCAGGCAGGGCACCCTTCCTCTCCCCAGAGCAGCTACCTAGGGAGGATGTATCATCTGTGTCAGTGCGGGCCTGGTCACGCCTGCACTTCCCCTTGGATGCCCTGGTGGCCACGCTGCTAGGCTGAGCACAGTGGGGTGTATGGGAGTTGGGGGTCTTGGCACCCCAGGCTGAATCCCAGAGCCCATTTCTGCGCAGACTTTGGGCCCAGAATCAGGCTGCTACGGACACAGCTAGATCAAGGGAAGATCCAGAGAGGACTGGGTAGGAATGTGAACGACACCCACTAGTAGTACACTCAGGGTCAGGACCCTGGGTCACTCCTGCATCTTCCTTGAGAGCACACAGCCTCATGGCCCAGAGGGCCAAAGAACACTAGGGGCCCAGAGACCGAATGTTGGTAACCAGCAGAGGCAATGCCAGGAACAAGGCATGGTGTGGGCAGCAGGTGTGGGTAGAAGTGCTGCAAGCAGGCACTCTCAGTCCAACTGGAGGCTCAGAACCTGTACCCACTACTAGGAGCCTTCCATTTCTTCAAGGGAAGCCAGAAACCATTTTTTATGTGTATTCTCCCCAAATTTAAAGATCAATTCAAAGTATCACATAGGGTTATGGCCAGGCAAAATACACCAGTGGGGTAGACTCAAACACAAAGCTGTTTTGATCTTCTCTGTCCTTCAAGGAGTAGCCACCACTTCAGAAAGGACAACTGGGCCAGAAAAGCGGATGGATGCCTTGCTGTTGAATTCCTCCTGGAAGTCTGCATCACCTTTGAGAAAGGCATGGGGCCAGCAGGAATGGAAATCGGGGTGGGTAAGGAGGGCTGCCAGGTGGCAGGGACCGCTCAAGGCACAGAACCCCACGTTCAGGGCTGCTGGCGCCAAGCTCTGCCAGGAAGAAGGATGGGGTCTTCTCTCCTTTAGGTTCCAGGGAGTGTCCAGGGAAACAGACAAGAGGGACCACTGTCCCCCAATATGAGGCCTCCCTCTTCCTCCTCAGAGGTTCGCTTTCTGATAGGCAGGCAGGCCAGGGGTGGGGGGCGATCTCTATGCATGCCAGGGGTTGGCAGCTCGACTTGACTTAAAACGCGCCTGGAAAGCTCTGGCCCTGCCAGGCAGGCTGCTGGAGCGGCAGGTTAGCAAACAACAGAACACATGTCAGACATTATGGCTAGTGCTCCGAGCCAGGCAGCCGGGGTCTGGGCCCCACGCTCGGGGGTCTGCTCCTTCCCACGCCTATGGTTTTCACATGTGTTGTGTTTTCCTGTGCTTTGTTTAGACTGGGCACAGGCTGGAGGTGCATGGCTCCTGGGGAGGCGAGCGCTGAGGAGCTGCCAAGGACCCTCGGGTGGAAAGGGTGGAGGCTGCATCAAGAAAACAGGGGCCTGGAAACAGCAGCATCTACACAAGGGGGTCCCAGTGGTCCCAGAGCCAACCTTCTGATTCCTTACTTTGCACATATGGGTGTTAATATGTGTTCCCGTAGTCCCACCCCACCATTGCTAGGGGGCTGTGGGTCTCGGGCTCCCTTGAGTTTGTTCATTCTGTTTTCTGGGCCAGCAGGAACGGGGCCAGGCATGTGAAAGAAAGAACATAGTCTCAGCACTGTTGGGCCAGGAGCCTGCTCCCCTGCCCACCGTTCTAGCCTCCACTGTCTCGTCTGAAATCCTGGGGACAATGGCTCTATCCTCAACACCCCACAGCTGCCCTGGCCCTGTTGGCACCAAAGCCAGAGGGGTCCTAGCTCTACATTCTCCACTCCCCACACTCCCACACTGATCCTGCTGGCCAATTCTGCCTTGAAATCTCCAACAATCCTTGCCTTGATTAGGTGCTACTGCCCTGATCTTACAGTCTGTCTTCCCAGTCACCAGAGAACCTCAGCAAATGTTACATTGAGTTCTATTCTCTGAGAAAACACTTTATACTACTGCCACCAACTGGAGCAGGAGGCTGGCCGGTAGGATGAACAAGGCACGCTAGTTCTGTGGTTCCCTGGGGCCTGGGGCAGGCAAAGTAGAGACCCCACTGACTCCTGAGTCCTGACATGTGCAGACCCACAGAGGTTTCCTGGCCCCTCTGCCCATCCTACCTCCTCCCTGAGGTGCAAATTTACACACAGCACAGCCAGTGTGAGTGCAGGGGTAATGGCAGGGGTAGCGGTGAGGGATGTGGGTGCCTGGCCTGGGGACAGACAGGAGCAACATGACTCAAAAGCATCAGAGTGAGGCTAGGCGCCAGGGTACCCTACTAGGGAAAGAGGCGTGAACAGGGATGGGGCAGGTGAGGGGTCCCAAGGAGCCTGGAGGAAAAGGAGGCTGCGGTGGAGGGATGGCATATACAAAGACCTCAAGGGGAGCTCATCTGCTGAAGCGGGGAAGGCAGGGGGATGGGGTAGATGACAGGGGGCAGACTAGTGGGTCACCTAAGGTCTGGTGAGGGGCATGCTGGGTACTAGGCTTAGGGCAGGGAGCTGACACCCATTCTGGGTGGAAAAGAGGTCAGGGGCTGGCAAGAGACTATGCAGGTGGTATGGAGGATCCAAGCTAGGCTGGGTCCTGACGTGAGGCCAATGGGTCAGGGCATGGAGAGGAGAGAGAGATCAAGGAGGTATCCTCCATGGTTCCCGGTCAGGTTTGTAGAGAGTCAGTCTCCTGGAGGAACAGAGTTGGGACAGCACCAGGAGATAGTGAGATGAGCAGGGGGTCCATGGGATGTTCCTGTGCACACCCAGGAAGAAATGGGGAGGGAGTCAGAAAGCCAGTCAGCAGAGGGTGGGAAAGCGTACTAGGGAGGTCAGGCTTGGCCCTGTCTCTTGGCAAGGGGCTGAGTGTGAGGGAAGAAGGGAGTAAGCCTGGCCCACCCCAGCTGGATCAAACCCTCCTAGACTGTTCTAAGTTTAACCAGTCCTTCTGAAGCCCCTAACACACCCTGGGAAACACCATCTGAGTCTTGGGGGCACCACGAGCCCTCCACCCTGCGGTTCTTCTCCAGACTGTGCACTGTCTGGGACACTTTTCCCAGGCAATGCCAGGCCCCCATGGTAGGCTCTGCCTCCCCCCTTTCATGCCTGACATTTTGGATGTGACCTGTTAAGTATTCTTTCAAGCATAAGTGTCATCCTCACTAGACGAGGAGCTCTGTGGGCAGGATGTGCCCCTGACTGGCCTTACCCTGGGGGGCACCGCCGATGCCCAGGTGCGTCAGGTTGGTGGCGAGGTTGCCAGTGCTGCTGGAGCTGCTGAGCGCGGGGAAGGTGGGCTCCTCGGGGTCCAGCGGGGTCGGGAGGGGTGAGGGGAAGTGGATGTTGGTCAGGTCAGGCAGGGAGCCCCCTGTGTTGTGGGTGGCGGGGATCAGGGCTGTAGTGTTTTCCTGGTCAGCAGATGGGAAGATACTGGGGAGAGGTCAGACAGAGGGGGTTGGTGAGCTCTGGGTCAACTGAGTTCTCCCTTGAGGCTGTGCAGGGGTGGGAGGGGCTGGCCCATGCTGCAGCCTGAATTTCCAATGGGACCGTAGGAAGCAACTGATCCTTGTGGAACACGGGGGCTGCCTGGGAATGGGGTATCTGTGGATTAGGGGTGAGACAGCCACCATCATTTGGGACAGGGAGGGATAGGAGAGTTCCCTACAAGGAATGGGGGGGGGGGTCTGCTGGATGGCCACCGCCCCTCATGTCAGGATTTGCAGCCTTGTGAGTGGTCGGAGCCCCTGTGGTCTGAGCAGCCCTGGCAGCCTTGGACATGCAGGGCTGGCCCTGCTGACTTACTTGATTCCGGGAACCTCACAGGACTTGGGCCTGGACCCTGTCTGAAAAAGAAGAAGCAGGGGCTGAGCAGCTTCCCCTGAGCACTGGGGTTCCCAAAGGCTCACCCCCACAAGGCCCAGGAGACCATGGATAAGAAGTGCGCTTACCAGGCCCCAGAGATCCCCCCAGATGAACAATGGTAGCCCACAGGGTGAGAGGGAGGCCTGTCCTAGACACATTGAGGGGCAAAACCAAGTGTGTGGAGAGGGTCTCCCTAAGGCCCCTTCCAGACCATGCTGTGTGCTGGTGAGGTACACCCAGCCCAGAGGTGAAGCTGGCCATTGCGGAGCAGGCGTCGGGAGAACACGCCTTGCCTGCTCTTTACATCTGAGCCTCAAGGCTGTGCCACTGTCAACAGTCGCCAGCTTGGAAGTGGTGGGGGTCCCTGGAAACCTGGGGGCTACAAGGCTAACCCTCACGCCATTCCTGGATGGGGCAGGCAGGCTCCTGGGGCTGCCTCTGCTTAACACCTATTTGTCCATGCAGAGAAGGATACCACATGGGGAAGCCCAATGAGGCTTGGACTGGATGCCATGAACACATGGAAGACACTATCCACCCCCTAGGTGCCCTGCCTTTCAGTGGTGCCCCAGAATTGACTCCTATAGGGCTGCAGGCACAGTGTTATTTCAGGGTCCCCACTGCCCAAGAATGATGCGAGCCAGTCCTAGCACTGGGAGGGGTCCCAGGAAAAGCCTGCCGACACAGAGACTGTGGTTTTGCCCCCTGCTAGCCAGGGACACTATCACCTAAGATTTGCAGGCAGAGTAAGGAGCACTCATTCAAGGACGCACATGCTTCAAGTCTCTCATTCATGGACAAAAGAGGGAGCACTCCACCGATGGCGGCAGACATGATGGGACAGGCCCAACAGGCTGACGAAGCCCTCTGTCTGTATCACGCTTGCTAAGTCCCCAAGTGCCTGGCAGGTCCTGGGGCAGACACTGCTGGCCTACGTGTTCTTTAGGGATTATTGTACAGTAATGGGTGGAAGGCTGGGCCTGCCTCACCTCACACGCCTGCTGAGGGGGATGCCCAGCTGGCTGGCAGCGATTGGAGAGCCAAGGGTGGTGTGTGACCAGCAGGCATTAAGCCTCTGTGGGGAGGCCAGAGGAACAGGTTTCTACTTGGCCACCAGCTCCCTAATTCTAAGTAAACATTTGCTTCGTTACCGGATTTGTGCAAAGCATGTTGACAAAGACTTTCTAAAGAATCTTTTCAAAAGCATTCCACAAACATATACTATAGGACTTCTAAATGGTATTAAAAATCCATCATCACTCCCCACCCTGCCCCCAACAAATCCAGAGTGATGCTGGGCTGTGCCTCTCTCTTCTTGCTCCCAGGATTTCAGGTATTCCTCCCAAGAGCCACCACACTACTATCTTCACTCCTTTATGGCTGCACTTCATTGGTGTGTGAGAAGATGCCAAGACCCTCGCTCAGGCCTCTCGAAACTAGATGTCTCCACTGCCTTCCTATTTTGTTTGGGTTTTAGATTCTCTCTGCCTTACCCTTTCCCCCATCCTACCCCCCCACCAACATGAAAATCACATGCACTCCTTGTGCAAAACCATAACATGCAGACAAGGATGAAGAGCTGGCAGCGCCACCCACAGTAGCCACATGAGGACACACCCCACTCTCGGCGTCCTTCAGTCGGGTCACACACCTGACGTGTCTACAGTCATTGGTGCACATGCATCTCTGTGTGTTTTCTGCCTCTTACGTAAGTTTTATGCTGCTCTTTTCACATAACAATGTAACTGTGCATTTCTCCATGCCAGTAAAAAGCCTTTAAATACCCCCACTAACATGGCTGGGAGCATTCCACACAAGGGGCTAATTCCTTACAAGCCCTTACTGTCCACAGAGTGCTGTTTCCAGGTGAATTCAAGTGTTCTGAACAGAGGTCTCTGGTGGACATGTTGCTGTCCCTTCCCCCCCTTGCACTGGCCAGCACTGGGTTTTAATTCTTTACATTTTTGGCCAGTTTAACAGCCTTCTGTGAGTGTTAACCAAGTCCCACACAAGCAGCCATGTCTGGGTGGGGTCACACTTCAGGAAAGGCAAAGCCCCAATGGGCAACCATGCCGCATTCACCAGGGGTGTGCTTAAAAAGGAGGGGAGTGCCTGAAAGTCCTCAGGTTCTTACCTTCTTGGTGTCCCACACCTGCTTGGGAAGGTTCTTGTCTGTCTCAGATGTGGCCTCCTCCATGCCCGGGACTGTTAGCAATAACACTGGAGGGGTGTGGAGAGAAGGGAATCAGAGAAGGAGTTTCTGTATCCTTGTGGCGGTACTGGAAAGCACATGCCAGAGGCAATCCTAACCCTGATATCATCTGTCCCAACAGTGATTCCTGGGGATTACACTAAAGTACAATAGGGTTTCATTAGAAAAAAGAAAAAAAAAAGTTTAAAGACTAAGTCAGAAAATCTGTGACTTAAAATGAAAACAACAGCTCTAGAATCAAAGATGTGTGGGTTCTGGAGCCTCCCCAATGACCTAGGGATTAACTCTCAGCGCTATCACCACTACGGCCTGAGTCAATCCCCAGCCAGGGAGCTGACCCATATATGGTGCAGGCCTCTCCTGTCTCTCCCGCAGCTCCCCTCAGTAGTGTATTTCAGTGGATCCACCGGTTCTGCTCCCCACTCTGCCTCTGGTGAATCCTCTCATTCCCTGCAACTCTGGCCTACACCCCATTTCTTCTACAGAAAAAAAAAAAAAAAAAAACCAACTTAAAAACAAAACAAAAGATGTGTGGGTTCTGCCTCTCTGGGGATGATGCAGACTCCAAGTCACACAGACCTATCCCCTGCCTCATGCAAATGGCTACCATGTGGAGGTCTGCCTTGTCCTCTGGGCCACCAGCACCAAGTAAAGGGATCCACGCCACCAGCTCAACATTGGCTGAGGCAGAACTAGTCCACAATGGCAGCAGGGGCCACACACAATAGTGGCAAATTGAGTGCTGCAGAGAAGTGAGAGGGAAGGTCTTAGGGACCTGATGGGCACTGTTCGGGGTCCTGCAACCAGTTGTGCCTGAAGGCCCCTTCCTTTGGATATTTCAGTTAAGGTGAGATTAAACATTTTCTTCATGAGACCCAATTTCCCTGTAAGCCTGTTAGGAGGTCCATCTTCCTAAGGCACACCCCCAGATGGGCTGATTCCTCCTTTCAGAAATCCATCTAGGGGGTGGGAAGGCAGCAGGGCCCGACCCTGTCACCACCTAAATCTCTCTTAAGGAACAGGGGCAGGTGATGGCACACCCCTCCTTCACCCAAGGCCAAGGGGACTCTGATCCAGAGGTACCTTTCCATAGTCAGAGAGCAGTGGGGATCTTAGCGGTCTGCTTCTACGCTCAGTTCTGTGGCGAGGCTGGGGGTCTGGGGACAGAATTACCCCAGTGAGAGCCAGTTAGGTAAGTTTTGGAAAAGAGTCAGTCCCTTCTGACCCACTGAATCCAGGCCACACACAGCAGTCCACAGGTGTGGACCAGGAAAGTGTTGAGCAGCAGGGCAAGAAAACAGCAGTGTGAGGTGCTGGAGGGAGGGGTACCTAACGCTGAAGGTCCACCCTGGACTATCGGTCATGAGCTGATGAATGCCCTTTCTGCTTGGAAAAGAATGTGCATGGCTCCAGACTGTGTGGCCATGCACTGAATCAAAGAACAAAAGCCCATGTACGTTTTCTAGGAGTTTCTGTCTCCACCTAGAAAACATATACACTCAACTCAAAACCCAATTCAAGCAGTGCCATCTCCAAAAATTCCTGAGTTCCTCCCATTGTCCAAAGCACATACGAGTCTTTCTTTGAAGGTCCATCCACCCATGAGCTTGAGACCTCTGGGGGCACAGGGGCTACCACCTGAGGAAAGACACCCTTATGCCCTAATACCTCTTTTCTGGTGCGTGTCCTGGGACCCTCCTGTGAAGGGCTCTGGTTGGGTGGGCGTCATTGTGCTCTGGTGCAGGGCAGAGTCAGAATTGGTCCTGGGGGAGAGGAGAGACAGTGAGTCTCGACCCCATCCGAGACAAAGGGATGGTCCTGCCTCACTTTGCCCAGGACCTGCCCAATGGGGCAGGATGGCATTGGGGTTCTTTTGAGCTGTTCTCAAAAAAAAAAAAAAAAAAAAAAAACCCACAGGACAGGTGAGTTTCATCTGCAAAGCCAACTGAAAACAAAATCCCCAGCAAATCTGTCCCTTCATCCCTAAATAGTCTTCCCCAATCTACCGCCCATGCCCCACAGGGGTTTCTTAGCTTCAGAGAAATGATAGAACCTTCCTCCCTACTGTCACTGGGTCCCCTTCTGGTGATAAACACCACAGGCAACTCTGCTCTCCAGTTAAAAATCAGCTGTGTCAGGTGGGAAGGGGAGGCACTGCACAGTGCCAGAAGAGGGGGGAAGCCAGCCCAAATGCTGCCCAGGGACAGGTGACAGAATCTGCTCCCAGGCACCTAGAGAAAAGGTTCCCCAAAGAGCCCCTCGGATGCCCAGGAAACTACAGGGACTTGACAGGGAGCCTGGCAGAAATGCAGAGAGCTGCATGCACCCAGCAGCGACAGACCAGCCATTCCAAGTGGCATGGGCAAGTGTGGTTCAAGAAGAGAAGCAGGTTACAAAGGATAGAGCCTGATCCTGGGGCTGGCCAAGCAGTGAAGAGCCTTTAGGAATTCTGAACCCTCCCGCTCTATCCCTGAGCAAGTATTCTGACCTCTTGATGCTCAATTTCCCTATATCTAAAATGGGGAGAATATTTAAGTTAATGGAGGTGGTGGCCAAAATAGGATCTGATATACCAACTTGCTTGCTGTAAATTTATTTATGTTACTGAATTATATCTTTTACATTATAGTGTAGATATATATTTATAGCTTCCTTAATTTTGGTCTTAGTTCACTGAAATCACCTATATATGTATTTTGTGTACATGATAAAATATACATAAAATTTACATTTTAATCATTTTTAAATTTACACATTTACAGGATCTAACAGGTTCACAAAGATGTTTAATCATCACCTATTTATGTTAGGTATTCATACTAGACCTTTACAGATGATGAGATTATGGGTGGATTTTTTTTCTCCTCTAGATACATTTATGTATTTCCTGGTAATAAATACACAATAGTTACATTTTCAAAGACTGTTTAGCAAAGTAGGAAACCACTCATAACACAGCATTATATGAAAAAAAGCAAGCTACAATATACTAAATATCCAAATTTCAACTTTCCATAAAAAAGAAAATGAAAAAAGGTTGCAAACAGAAGGGGGGGGTAAAACACCCTGGGAAATTTAAAGTTGTGACTTCATTGTTACAGGGATAAGGATTTTTTAAGAAACTTTTGGAAAACTTCTAGTTTTATGATTTAATGCGGCTGCATGTTGGTTTTTAAAAATCCATGTGAAAGTTGGTTTTGTTCCCCAAGGGAGGGCAAGGGCAGCTGGGGTCACTGACCTTCTCCAGCTGGTGTCCGCAGGTGGCGATAGGTACACGGTGCCATATGGGCAGCTGTCAGCGTGAGCCTGAGTTAAGGGGAAGGTGCTATGGGCTCAGACCAACCTCCCAGCACCCCAGAAAACAGCTGGGTGGGAAGGCAGAGCCTTTCCTGGAGGCCCAGGGTCTTTCCTGGCTGTGACTGTCCACCTAGGACCCAGCACTTACCCCCACTTCTGAGAGGGACCTGGGTGAGAATGCAGATATGGATGCAGAAAAGCCTCTAGTTCAGCTGGTCCTGGTTTTGACCCTTAACTCTGGCATGGTGGAGAGACTCCTGGGGCCCCAGGGCTGAGGAGAGGCAAGCTGGTTGGGCTCCCCAGCCATGAAAATTGGAATTGGAAAAGAATGGGCCTTTCTGTTCTAGAGAGCAGGGGTTCTGGGAACAGGGCTCAGACTCGGGGGTGGGGGGCGTGGCTGGCTGAGGGTGTGGTGGCAAGACCCCAACTATCTTTGCCTGGCCGAAGTACAGAGTGAATTTTGCATATTGTCAAGATGGATCCTCCCTTTGGATCTGTCTGGGTCTTGCTCAGATTCCCTCAGCCCTCTCAGTTGGGAAGTTCTCAATACAGCCTCTTGACACTTCAGGAGGCTCCCCAGGGGATTCCCCTAGAGCCTTCCTGTGCCCCCTACCTGGACACTCTGCTCTAGCCTCCCCTTCCCCACTCCCACCTCAGGTATGTACTCCAGCAGTACCCTCTGTTCCACACACCCCCAAACCCCCACTTGGCCAAGAGCTCCTCAGCTTCCTGCATCATCTCTGCTTCTCCAGGAAGTCCTCCTCGGTTACCCTGCTACTGCACACTGTCCTGGTGCTGCCAGGAAGCCTAGAAGCACTGGGACAGCTCTGATTCCACTCTCAGAGTCAGCATCGAGCAGCTCCATCAGTTAGTTACCAATGCCTCCCCCCAAGCCCAATCCCTTGGGAAAGGATATCTGTCGTCCATGCTTGTCCACTGACAGGGGCCTGCGGTGTGGGGAGCCAAGCCGGCCACGCTCTCGGTACACTCTGTCCACCAGCCCGTGGTGCCGAGTGGTGCGGCTGGTGTCCAGGCCCGAGGACTGGAAGGGTGTCTAGGGTCAGAACGGGCCATTGAGGGGAGAGTGGTGAGAGAGATGAGAAATGAGAAAAACCCAAACAGTTATCATCTGTACCCAGAGACCTGACATCAGGGCTCATTCCAGCAAAACACCCTCATCACCGCTCTGCAACCAGGATGGGTTTCTTCCTGGGTCCCAGCCTCCAGCGCTGCAGGGTGGGAGCGAGCCAGGGGTCCCGTTCGCTGGTATGGCAGGCGTGCAGTGTGGTCGCATGCACGGGTCAGGCAGAGCGACAAAAGCTCAGGCCCAGCCGGTTGAGGTGCAGACGGTGGGAGCCCACATCCCCCCTCCCAGCCTCACCAGGTGCAGACGGGCCTCCGCCCTCTCTCTGGGCCTGGCCAGCCTCCTCTCCCCACCTACGTCATCCCTGGAGGGGCCTGCCAAGAGACAGCCCCAGGGCTTCCAGCCCAGGACTTAGAGGGGCCCACCTGGCCATGTGCTGGCTCCCCCAAGGCCAGTGTGGATTGAGACTCAGCCTCCCCCACTGCCTCATCCCAGCACCACCAGAAGCCAAAAGCAGGCGCTTTCCGGAGTCCTGGCCCATGACTTGGCCGGATGGGGCTTCCTTCCAGCACCTGGGGCTGGCATGAGGCCCCCAGCCAGGCCCTGCATACACCTCCCTCCCTCCAGGGCTCTGTGTTCCTGGATCCCCAGAAGCCTACTCTCTTTGCCTGTCCTGGCACTGTGGGGACTCCTCTCCATCTGACTGGGGCGAGACTGGTGGCCCTAGCCTGCTCTGGATGCAGTTGACCCCCCTCACTCACCCCTCCTGCCTGGCCATCTGGCCCTTGGGCCCTTCTGTCTTCTCTGGGCATTCAGGCAAGAAGTAATTTCCTTCTGGAAGGCTGCCACTGGCTGCAACGGCTGCTGGTGCCCACCCTGAATGCCCCAGCCAGTGTGCAGGGCTGACGGCTCTCTGGACATCTGAGGACCATGTCCCTGTCTGACTTAGCAAGGATCCTGCCGCTTGAGTCATTCTGTGCTTGTGTTTTGCAGAGTGAGCCTGAGAGATGGCCAAGACCAAAGATGGGCAGAGACCTCGACATCTAGCATGGACACTGGAGGGCAGGGGCCCGTTCATCACCTCACAAAGATGCCTGGAAGCCCAGAGGGGAAATCGAGGCAGCTGAAGCAGAGCCAGAGGCAGACAGAAGCTCAGGCCCAGCCACAGCCAGGTTCGCCAGGCCATGTCTCAGATCTGTGCACACGCATGTGTGCCTGTGTCAGAGGAATGAGCCATGCAGCATTGGTGCACATGCCCGGATGCCCCCACCAGGGGTCTGGATTCATTTGCATCCAGTGGGCAGACACCTCCTGCCTCGCCGTGGGGGTGGCCAGAGGGGATACCCAGCACCAGGCACATGTGGGGCACCATGGCTGCAGCTGGGGGGCTCATTTACCATAGAGACAGGAGCCGCTGCCAGGGCCTCCCCCAGAAATCCGCCAGGCTGAAAATCAAAGAACCAAGACTTTGAGACTATCCTGGTTTATCCAGTCTCAGAGGATGGCCAACAAACCTCAGCCCCCTTGCCTATGGGGCCTAACACACTCCAGAGAGATACTGTATTCAAAGGAAAAGGGAATTGGGGGAAACAATGGGAGAGGAGAACCAGGGGAGAGGGGAACCCCCACCTAGGAAAGGCCTTGAGAGAAGTCAGGCCCCTGGGACATACCCATGGTTCCCAAGTATCTGCTCTATGGAGAGTCCTACCCCAAGAGTTGAGCTGGGAGGACCCCAAGTCAACAGGAGGGACCCCAGGACTCATGCCAGCAGCAGCACAGGAGGGGTGCAGCTGTGGAGGAACTTAGGTAGGTAAGTAGGGATCAAGCTCCTGTGGACCCACCTGACTCCACTGTACCTAATGGCATGTGGTTGGACATGTCTGTTTACGAGGCTGTCCCGGCAATGAGAAGGATTTGTGACAGGCTGTAGCCCTGTCCTTGCAGTGTTCAAACAGTGTGCTGGGGTGGCCCAGTGCCCCATGCTACCTTGTCCTGCTTCCACCTGCAAACCAGGGTTGGGTGTGGCTTGGGAAGCCTGAGGAATAAGGCCAGCCCTGCGCCTGGCCAGTGGACCTTATCTCTGGTTATTTATGATAAGGACGTGAGCGGCAGCCATGCAGCCTGCGGGAGCAGCGCTGTGTGGGTCTCTGCCAAGAAACGTTTGCAGACAAGTGGGGTCAGGCTCGGGGCCTCCTTCTGAGAATTGTTGGGCTTGTGGATTAGTGAGGCAGTACGGAGCCAAGTCCCGAAGGCCCCAAGCGGTTCCCGCTGCCGCACAGCCGGCCAACAGGTGTAGCGGCTGCTGAAACAATCGCCACCAGACCTCAGCTTCACTGAGGTGTGTGCTGACAGGCCAGGCCTGTCAGGAATGGGGGAGCCCTAATCAGGTTTTCCTGGGACAGTGAGGGCATGGCTATGGGTGGTACTCACCTGGAAGGGCAGGTCCACAGTACCACTCCCAATCTGGTTCACGTTGGGGAGGGACCCGCCATAGTACTGGCCGCGGCTGGGGCCCAACTGCAGGTACTGGGACTTCTGGAGCTGAAGCTGCAAGACACAATTCATAGCTGCAATGTAGGTGGGGAACCCTCCCAAGCACATCCCACAGGGCTCTAAATAGATCAGGCAATGGAGTCAGAGGTTATGGGACCCAGTGACAAAGAATCTTTTTTTTTTAAAAGGTTTATTTATTTATGCATATAAGAACCGGGGTACAGGCCAGAGGTGGGGTGTGGGGTGGGAAGAGCATTCACCGGAGACAGAGTGAGGAGCAGAGATTCTTAAAGGAACCAAGTATCTCTTCACACAAAGAATGGCAGAACCAGAAGTACCGAGTGCCCTGCAGGGGGCTGCCTCCAGGGCGCATGACAGCATTACTGGGTACAGACCAGAGGCTGAGTACTGACTTAGATACAAGAGAAACAGGCTTTGCATGGCCTGGAGCAGAGGGGCTAGCTAAGAAACCCAGGACTGGTTCTCCAAGTACAGATGTATGGCACTCAGGCAGCACACATGGAGTGAGGCAACCAGACCTGCCCAGTACTATGGCATTCTACCCAAGTGCCAGGCACCTTAGGCCTGGCCCACTGACCTCATGGGGATATAAGGTGGCCAAATGCCTCCACTGTCCCCTGCCCAGCACTCTCATGGAGATTACGCACCCTGGGCCAGGGTTTAGGACCTGGAGCCCTGGCTCCCTGACCTGCCCCAGCTGGATCCACTTGGCAGGGAAGAGATGCCCCTGACTGGACAGCACCATGGTAGCCCTTAGAGCCAAGGGCCCACACACCCCTGGGTAGCAGCTGGGCACGCTGGCTGGCCAGTTGCTAGGGTCTGCACTGTGTACACAACAGTGCTGCTCACATCCCCTCACAAACAGCTCGGGTAGGCTCGCCAGCTGGCTGCTACACTGCACCCCCCCCCCCACACACACACACCAGCCCTGTTTCCTGGGGGGCCGTTGACAACCGAGCGGGAAGTGAGGCTGGGAATTGGCTGCCTGCCGGCAGGCCCACACCTCACCCAGGTAAACAGCTGTTTCCTGAAAGCTGTAGGAGCCAGGAGAGGGGCTGACCCTGCTCCCTCCTTCGCGGGTGGTTCCGGGCATTAGTGGGGCCGGCCCAAGATCTCTCCCCCACAGCTGGAGATTCTCACCATGGACACCCCACTGTGTCCACCCACAGCCATGCCAGATGAAACAGGCCAGCCCCTGCTGGGGGGAAGGGAGCTAGGCAGGGCCCAAGCCAGCACAGGGTACAAATCACTTGAGACTCCCCTCCCATGCTTGCTTTGTGTCTGGGGGCCTGTGCTGCATCCACCTCTCACAAACCCCTTCAGAGCCTGTTTCCCCTCTCTGGAGTGGATTTTCCAGGCGCATATGTGTGACACACAACTGGCCTGTGACAGCCCCACTTCTATACCCATGCAGCAGGGGCCTCTTTGATACCTACCCTCAGAGCAGACCCCAGGTCACTGGGGCATCCACTCTGGCTTTGCTATTGTTTTAATAGCTTCCATGGTGGAAGTTCTAGATTTACAGAAAAATTGCACAGATGGTACAGATTTCCCAACATTCCCCATCCAAAGTCCCCTAATGCCCTCTGACCTTGCTGGGGGGCTCATCAAAACTAAGAAGTGACATGTGCAGTCACTGACCACCCACATGCCTCCTGGTTCGTCTAATCACATTTACATGTCTGAAATGTCCTTGCTGGTGAGCCCCATCTACCATCCCTCCCATCCCCACCAGAGCAAGCACTCAGGATTCACGGTCTGCTGGCCTCACTGTGTCCAGTGCCACGGTGAACTCCCCAGTAAGTGTCACCCCTGTATCTGGCCTCACCATTCACCTGCCTGCTATACCCCTGGGTCTTCTCCAGAATAATAGCCTTAACCTATGCCTCTCAAGCCCTTCTACACTGAGGTTTGAACAACCAACAGTGACCCTAACAGAGGTGACAGGTGAGGTACCTAAGTCATTCCTTCTACATGCGATCAGGGAAAGGTCTCAGGGCAAGGGGGGGTCACGAAGCAAGCCATGGACACCTTGTACTTGTATCTATGCTCCAGCATTGCAGGTGACACCCAGAAGGTGGCCCTAAGCTCCCACCATGGAGCACAGAACCCTCAGTCCCTGGGGCCACAGTCACAAATAGGAGACTTGAAAGCAGGGACTGACAGCGCGCAGCCAAGAGGCAGACATCCCAAGTCCAGGTATGGGCAGGCTGATTCCCCTGGTGATTCTGGGGGAGGGTCCTTCATGCCTCTTTTAGCCTCTGGTGTCCTTGGCTTGTGGCCTTATCCCTCCAGTCTCTGCCTCTATCATATGGCTTCCCCTCAATATCTTTGTCCCAAATCTCCTTCCTTTCTCTCATATAATGTCTATGGAATCAGGCCAACCCCAGTCCAGGGCAAGTTCATCTCCACACCCTTAATTGCATTTTGAATGAAGTCACACTCCCTGGTTCCATAGGTAAGCATGTGGACACACCTTTTGTGGGTGCACAATTCAATCCATGATAGGCCCTTCAAGTATGTGAGGGTGGGGGGTACCAGCACACTCCACAGTGGGCAAACTGAAGCTCTGTAGGCAAGGGACCTGCCCAGGGCCAACAGGCTGGAAGTGGTCAATTGGGGCTTGTACCCCACTCCCGGAACCTGACACACGTATGACCTATGCCAGCTCCTCTAGTTTTGGTTGGAGTATCAATCCCATTTCTCCACATCAGCCCCCTCAAGGGAGGCCTCAAACACTGCCTCCGCCTGGACACCTCGCATCCCAGATAGCCTGTGCCTGAGTCCCCTGCACAAAGTCTTCTCTCATTGTGGCCCCACACCCATTCTCCCTGCAGAGCCCTATGTGGCTTCCCCCAGTCCTCCTGATAGGACCTAAAGGTGTCTGCTGGGCACAGCACACATGCCTGCCCCTAAGGGCCATACCCTTGTCCTAGCAGCATCCATGGGGGCCTGCGGGGACAGGGACCTCAGAAGGCATGGCCTGATGGATGTGGGTACTTGTCCAGGGCAGATACCTCCCTCCTCACTCTCATTCTGCAAAACAGGGTGCAGTTACACCCACTACCTGCCAGTCCCAAGGCTTCATCTCTAGCCAGAACCTAGGGCAGGCCAGCAGCAACTGCCATAACAACTGCCCAGCCAGCTAATGAGATTAAGGAGCAATAACACTAAACACTAAATGCTGGATTTTTCCTGAAAAGCCAGGGAAGCAAGTAGGGTTAGGAACAAGCACAAGGAGGGCCACGGGAGGAGCTGTGTGCTCCCTGAAGGCCTCAGTTTCCCCTTTCTCAGCAACATCCTCAGCTTTCTCTGGTCACTGAGTTCCAACATTGGGTACCTTTGCAGTTCCTCTGCCACCTTGGGACTCAGGGGCCCCAGGAGCTTCCAACTGGGTTGGCCAGGCAGGCTGCCTCCTGCACAGCTCAGCACCCCAAACCACCGGATTCCTGTCAGATGTTGGCCCCATGAGGACCCTGGTAAAACATACACACACAGGGAACAGGCAATGAGACATGGAGGCTGTGTCGGCACAGGGACGACTGGACACCCTCAGGACCCCAGGCAGGGATATTTCTCTTGCTTCCCCTGGGAACCTGCTCCTCGCCCTGGCCTTGGGGAAACTGAGCAGTCTATTGTGCAGAGGCCCTGCACTGCCTGTAGTTATGCCTGCAAAAGTGGCCAACCAGGAGAGTCTCATGCTATTTTCCTGTTTTCAAACATTTTTCTTTTTATTTTATTGAAGTAAAATTCACATAACATAAAATTCACCATTTTAAAGTGAACAGTGGCACTGGATTTATGAATGGTATACAATCATCACCTCTATCTAATTTGAAAACACTTCATCACCCCAAAAGGAGACCCTATCACCATGAGCAGTCACTCCCCATGCCCCTACCTGACAACCACTCATCTGCCTTCTAGATCTGCCTGTTCTGGACATTTCATATCCATGGATCACACACCCTGCGGCCTTTTGTGTCTAGTCTCTCACACAGGATCATTTTTTGAGGTTTATCAAGTTGTAGTTTGTTAGGGCTTCACTCTTTTTCATGGCTGAATGGTATTCCCCCATGTTGGCTGAATGGTTGAACGCCATGTTCAACCATTCATCGGCTGATGAACACTTGGTCTGTTTTCCCCTTTGATTAACTGTGAGTCGTTCTTCCAAGAATGTGCATGTACAAGTATCTGAGTCCTTGTTTTCAATTTTCTCAGGTATATCCCTGAAGAGGAATGACTATCATGTGGCCATCCTGTGTTTAGCTTATTGAGGGGCCACCAGATTGTTCTCCATGGCAGCTGCATCATTTTCCACTGCCACCAGCAATGAACAAAAAGATTCCAGTTTCTCCAGTACCTCACCATTGTCTATTAGTTTCTGTTGCTTTGACAGAAGCCATGCTGATGGGTGTGACGGTACTGGTGGTAGCTGAGAGTGGCACTTCCCTGGTGAGTAACGCTGAGCATCTTTTCACATGCTGATTGGTCATTTATCTCTTTCAAAAAGGTCTCCTCAAGTCCTTCACCCATTTTTTTAAAAGATTAATTTTATTTATTTATGCATACAAGAGCTGGGGTGTAGGCCAGAAGTTCGGGATTCACCAGAGACAGAGTGGGGAACAGAACAGGCAGATCTACTGAAATACACTGCTGAGGGGAGCAGCGGGTGAGACAGGAGAGGTCTGCTCTGCCATGGGAGGCCCACCCATTTTTAAAATGGATTGCCATCTTCTTGTTGAGTCTTAGGAGTTCTTTGTATATTCTAGATATTAATTCCTCATCAATCATGTCGTTTGCAAATACTTTCTCCCATTCTGCAGGCTGTTTGTCTTTTCACTTTCTTGACAGTCTTTTGATGCAGCAGTTTTTGAGGCTGATAGAACCTGATTTATCTACTTTTGTTGTGTGCGCTTTTAGTATCATAACTAAAAGCCAATCTCCTGATCAAAAGCCAGGAAGACTTACACCATTATTTCCTTCTAGTTTCATAGTCTCAGTGTTTACATTTAGGTGCTGGTCCATTTTGA